TAAACATCACCACTCAAAAATGTCAGGTGGTACAAACAAAAATGTGTAAATTATGTTTATATTCCTGATTTTATTTCTAAGAGAAATCTTAGCAAAATAACCCTTAGAGCAGGGGTTCTCAAAGTTTACATTCAAAGGTCCGAATCTGAATTCTCATCAACGTGAAAAGGTCCGAAATAATTGTTATCACAAAACTTGTTTTTAATAAACATTCTTATAACTTTATATAACAATTCAACTTTATATATGCAATTATCATATTCATTACGTCATCAAGTCGTACTCGCGTTTACTCGCTGAACTGTAAAGTACTGCACTTTTTATACAACTAAATGCCCAATGAAGCAGTTCTCATGTACATATTTTCTGTTTCTGAAATAGTACTTCAATGTAACCTACTGTAAAGTCACTTCAACTTAACTGCAAAAATCTTGAATTGCTGTTATACGCAGTGAATTATATTACTTTATTTATATCATGCAGCACAAACGTCCGTCTGTGTAACAAAATATGTGCATATTTACAGACGAACTACATTCATGTTCATATGCCCAGACAGTCAACAGTGATAGGTTTTTGGAAACGCTGTTTTGTACTCATTCATTCACAAGTCTGTTGCGGTTTGGTCAGTTGAATGTGCTGCTAACTCTGCCGGTCGAGAAAAACCTCACGCGCGGGGCGAAATCGGTGACATTATTCTACTGAATGAAAGCTAAAAGGTTTATCCAAAATGTCGCTAGTTGCTATGCGCTTTGTCTTACAAAAAAGTCGGTAAAAACTGCAACACTGATTCATGCGCCCCTGTGTGTCTGCCACAGAGGTCTGAGTGATACGAATGCACTTGAAATACTAAAAGTGGAGGCGGGTCCGGATCGAATTCCCGGAGTCCGGACTTTGAGAAGGGCTGGTATAAACTGTCTTCTGTGGTCAGTTTGTCTTTCAAGTCATCTACTGGTATGGCGGTGCAACAGTTTGAAGGAATTTTGCCCAGCAAGTGGGTTAAAGTTTCTCGATATTCGCAATTGAAATACGAAGTGGAGGCGGGTCCGGATCGAATTCCGGACTTTGAGAAGGGCTGGTCTAGATTATACCATAGTATTCAGTACACAGTAAGTAGTGTAGTATATTCTATGTAGTGCACTATATATCCACTTCGTGTAGTGTAT